GTGTGCAGTGAGAAATGAGTATAAATGACAGGTGTGGTCAACAAGGTCGACTATATTTATATCAGATCGGCCCATACTACTAGTCCCCCCTACTGTCTTCGGGATATTATAAAAAAGGCTACGTACCAGCTGGAATATCCTAGGCCGGTTTTACCAACTTTATGAAATTATGAAAATAATTTCTTGAATGGAGTAAAACGCCTTACTCCGGGAACTAAATTGTGTATTTCATATCCTCGTGCTAAAATTATGAAGCCTATTTGAAATTCTGGAAAATTTTCAGGACAATTTGAAACATGAAATTCGTTCAGATTGTCCCGTTTGGCATCTTTAAATTAAAAGACTGCACCTCCAAGAAATTCTCCTCAAAATTCGAAATCCAGAATTTTCCTCTAATAAGTGAAAACGAGGGTCAGACAGCGTTTTCACTTTGACAAGAGAAATAGACTGATCTATTTTAAAATCTGGCTTTTTTGAGCGCGCACTTTTGAAATCACAGTATATCACATTTTATGTATGTACGTAAATATACATGATGAACAGATTCTAGCTATTAATTCCAACCAATGGATGGGGTTTTACGATAAACAAAAATAGAATTGACAACCACCCACTATTTCAAAGGACTCATGCGTTTGTCAACTGGAAAATGGACTTTTTGAGCAACTTCTGGGCTGCCCTACAGCCAGAATTTGTTGGACTGGCTAGAAGTTTTTTAATCGAATACTGGAAAAGAAATTATCCGAAATACAGTCCACAATTCCAAAAACAATAATTTCCTCAGAATTTTATAAAGTTGGCAAAACAACTTACATACATAGAACAAACATGGCAAAGTCAAACACCGGAAGGCGGATGTGGCCCAATAAAATTATTACAGCGCCCTTCGTCTTTTCTTTCCTGCCGAGTAATATGCCAGACAGATTCACGTTATATTGAAAATAGTATTTGATTTTGCAAAATTTTATTTTGATTTTGATCTATTGTGAGTTTTGTAATAGTTTTATCAATGTATATAATTTATATCTTGTCTTTATAATGAAATATAAAGATTTCAACAACAAAAAGGTAATATATGAATATCTTGAAAGAAATGTAGTATGGGGATTGGCCCGATTGGGGAATGGTCAATGGTCAAACCCTCAGAGACTCCCAGAGCAGAAACGAAATTAGTTTATTAATAGACCACGTTGTAATTTTAATATTGACCAGTCTCATTACCTTGAAAAGAGCTGTGTAGAATTGTAGCCTGGTAGTCTAGACTCTTAGAGTAGACCTGTAAAAGTATGTGTGTAATATATAATACGATCTGCTCTACCCTTCGAATTTCTTGGAGCGTTGGGAGTATTTTATATTTAAAATAAATCTAGTAGTCCTTGAAAGTAAAACGACAATTGTTCTATTTGCTGTACGAACATTGGATTAGAAAATCATCACTGTATGTACTGGATTGGATGGTTGATACTGGATACCGTGAGATGTGAGTCGATTTTCCGATAAACCAGTAAATAATAAAAATACAGTTTGTATGTACTTCGTAGAATCGTGGCACAATTGTAACTATTAAATACAGCCTCGGAGCTCATACTCAAAGCTCAGTCAGACCTTGGTATTTACAACTACCAGGCCCACGCCCCAGGCCGTCCACTGGGCGTGTCACGCACAGACCCACTCTTTTACAGACTTTTACTGTTACACACATCTGTGCAATGCCAATTGCCGATTCATGAATTAGAATAAACGTGCTGAAAGTTTGAAACTGCTGGAATCCGAAAGAAATTAGAAACCGACCAGTCTCGTCTTTACTCTTTACTCTCGATACTCGCCTCTCAACGCTATACTCTTTAACTCTCAACTCTAGAGTCATGACTCTCGAGTCTTGTCGTGACTCTCGACCCACTGAGTTGTCATCCGACAACAACGTACATCCCTGAAAAAATGTCGCCGCGACACTGGGTCTGGGACTCTGGGTCAGCAAATAGGACTGTCGCCGACACCCGACGCCGACCGACATGTCTGGAAAAATGTCGTGCCGACATGTCTGACATATCTTTTTGCCAAATGTCGGCGTCTTTTACCAGCCCAGTTGACCCAGCGAGAATTTCTTTGTTCTATAAAATAATAGACACAATTAAATTTTATTTTTTTAGTTTTTGTTTTTAAACAAATCAAAGTTTAGTTTTCAAATTACGATTAATGAAATCGGTCAAATCACAGAACAGGACAAAATCCCTTGGACCTGAATTTACAACAGAACGGGACAAACCCAAATTCAACATTGTCAGTGCAATTGTACAAACCAAACGATCGCATTTTACATAAATAGCCTTCTTTACTTCTTGTACATGATTTAGTAGGCTATGAAACGATATTTTTATAATATTCAGAAGTATGGATCCACGAATTCACGCTCACAGGTTTAAACTTTTTAACAGAACATTGGCTCTCTCTAATCGACTCTGAGGCGTTGTACTCTATTTCAGGTGATAGGTGTAGATAATATACCGAAAACTGATACTTGTCTGTTGTATCGGTAGATATTTTTTTGCGTAGTGTACACGCTTTATAGTTCGGTACTTGGGCCAAAGTCGCCTTACGTGGGCCCATAAATATCGACCCTAACTTTTGCGAATGGACCGAATACGGTTTTGGACACGGCTCGAGCGTTAAATTTTTATAATGACGGGTGTCATATAGACTGAGCTGGTAAACGACATGTCTTTTGCCTATGGCGACACGTCGCGACGGTCGTTTACAATTTTTTTAGGCGACAAGTTGCAACATTAGGGTCGCAACATGTCTTATGGTCGACTCAAGATTGAAGAAATTAGACCCTCTGAATCATCAATATCTGAAAATTTCGCCAATCATCACGGAACCTTTCATCGATTACCAATGGGTGAACATGAACATTCTGAAAGTTTCCGACTATATGTATGACAACATGTCCAGCATGTGTATCGAAACGATATACGACAAGTTTTCAGACGACACGTCGCGACGGTCGTTTACATGTTTTTTTTATAAGACGACATGTCGCGACCTTATACCAGCCCAGCATATGGACAAAATCGTAGCCTTCAAATTGTTTTTTTAGAAGGCTATGTTTCATCACAAGTCTTTATTTTATTTTTAAATTGCTCTCTCCCAAGAGAGGGTAGAGAGTGCAGTGCTATTGGGCAGCCTCTAATCCTGGACTACCTGTCTACTCTCGTAGTAGAGTGTCTAGTAGTCCACTTGAGTAGTAGAGTCAAGAGTGCTGGTCTACTGTCTACACCTACAAGTATCTAAATCTCTTGAAGTCTGCACTCTAGCTCTACTCTCTCTCTCTCTCAGAGAGAGTAGAGTAGAGAGAGGGGCTATTAGTCTATTACTACTACTACTAGACTGAGAGTACTACTAGTAGTGGTAACTCTCTCGTAGAGACTAGTAGAGAGACTCTCTACTGTAGAGTAGTAGTAGAGAGACTCTGAGAGACAGAGAGAGAGACTCGCAAGAGACACTATTGACTATGGTGCAAGACTGGTAGTAAATAGAGAGAACTCTGGGGCCGTCCGGGCATGTGCTCAATGCGTTAAAAGTAGCAACTTTTATTATGCCTCGAATAAACATTTGTTTTTAAAAAAATAAGTAGCAACTTTTATCTCGATAGTACCCTTTCATATATGATAGGTGCATTTTCCAGGTCACCCAGGTGACTGTCGTCACACCTGAAACGCTCAATCTCTTTTGATTGCCTATTATTAATTTCGTAGCCTAAAATTTTCAACGATAGGACAGCTTATTGAGTGCAGTTTCAAAAAAAAAACCTTAGTTGATTTGTCCTAAATAAGAGATAACTTTTAAAAATCAAGAAGTTAACATTAAAGTAGGAACTTATATTCCGTACCCCTATAACTTATTGAGCTTAGGTCCGGGCCCTAATATAGTTATATGTTAAAAAACATAGGGCCCCGCCCTGTTAAGAGCAAAGTGCTAACCCTCAGGGCTTATTTAATATTTATGTACTATGTATTTACTCTCTCTCCACTCTACTCTAGACGCTAATTAAAAATAGTGGTAAAGACTAGAGAGAGCCTAGTGGCTAATGGCCGACTGGTGTCAAGCAGAGCTACCATGTCATTATTAACAAAAAGAATTAAGAGAAAAATTGCCGTAATTTTCGTAAGAAATACGTATTAAGGTCCATTCCTGATTTTTAAAATTAAGATTTACGTAAGGAAATCAAACTTCGGAATTAGGAATTTAAGAAGTATATAGCACTTAGTCGGACTTTAAGAAATATTTTATTTCTTAATTAAGAAAACAGGAATATGTCCGATTATGTTCTTATTAAGAAATAAGCAGATCCGATATAATATATTTTTTAAGAAACGGGATATATTCTTATTTTATCTTATTTTCGCTCACATGGTGACATCTAAAATCATAAATTTAGTATGTATCAATTAGTACAGTAATCAGAGTGTAAATATATTTCGTTTCTATAGTTAGATATATTGGACGTCGGATTGTAGATTAGTATGGCGGCAACTAGTGAGGATCCTGAGGGAAGGGCAGCTACAGAGACAGTCAGCAGCACACCGACTGGAAAGGACACGGCGAGCTCTGATAATGTGCAGTCAAGCACAAAGAAAGTGCAATCAACATCCAAAGTGTACAAGGAACTCATCAATGTTGACGCTGTAAGCGGGTCACAGTATAGTTGTTTGAAGTTGTACCGAGGGTTGACTAAGATATAAAAACTCGATTTCGCGGCTACAAAGTTTAAAGTAGACGATAATGACTGCAATAAGGCCACCTGTAGATATTGTGATGTGATAGCTATAAGAAGTATGTTTGGAGCCGTAAGAACGCTAATAACGCCATCATTCATTACGAAAAAGCACGCTAAAGAGTGGTATGATGATATTAGCAAGTTAGTCACTAGACAACTGGAGAAGCAAGTGAACAAGAATGGGCGGCAGCAGAGTATTATGGGTTTTGGTTCTTCCAGCAACCGACCACTTATGAAATATAATTCTGCTAAGAGATCAGCAGACTTATTTTGGGTGCGATGTATTGCAAAAAAAATGATCTTCCTTTTAAACTTGGAAAGAAACCCAAGCTTAGGGAATGGATCAACACTGGCGGTGCCTACGAATGTTCACTCTCAAAACACACCTACGACACCTGATACTATACGGAAGTATTTACCGATATTAGAAAATGCTATCAAAAAGAATGCTCTCACCCAATGGAAAGAAGCGCTGCAACTTTATGCAGTACCATTCGCTGCACTCGAGAATGACGTTTGGAAAGATGCCACGGGCGTCAACTACTTGGGATCTATTCTACATTGGACTGTACCTAACAAAACCAATAAGTCGGATCCAGACCGAATATATGTATTCATAGAACTAAAGAAGATAATTGGGTCACACACTGGGGAAAACTTGGCTGTATGGCAGCGGGAAGTGCTAGAAGGCTGGCGGTTTCTAGATCCACTCGAAAATACAGCATTTCGAGCTGGAAAGAAAGATAGTGTTAATGGTAAACTAGACATGCGACAGATAATACATAGTGCGACACCTGATATTGCATCCAATGTGCAGAAGGCCCTGAGGCTATGTACAAATGTTGTGTTAGGCTGCAGTACACATCGTGTAGCATTAGTATTGAAAATTGCTATTGGAGGTTTGTTAGTGACAGCAACCAACAAAATGCGAGAGTTATTCGAGTCCAACAAAAAGAGACTGCACAAAGAAAGTGTAAAAAATCAACTTGATATCTTTGAGACTCTTCTAGACGCAAACAACCAGGAAGCCATGAACGATGTGAATACACCAGCTTTCGATAGTAAACCCGTATCCGACATGTTGTTGTACTTTTGTGCAACCAGATCAGCGTTCACGACCAAGAGCGCCAAAGGTGTGGACAAATTAGTAGGTGCACAAGAAGTCTTAAACTATGAAAAGTTCACCAGGGCTATTTCAAATGGTGGGGTACGCTGGATTAGCGTGTATTTAATGGTCAAGAGAGACGATCTAAATTGTCCTGCAATCCAGGCCTTAATAGATGATCTTAAAGAGAGTTTGCCAGGGACTGATAGTCTGTGGGGCACCGCAAGAAGAAAGATTCAAAGAGATAAACTAAAAAGCACAAAATATATACGCACGAAGTACGGCGAGAATTCTTAGCAAGTACTCGCCCATTGATGCAGTGCCAGATGAATGTACAATCCGCGAACGGCAGCTTGGCGGATTCCATGAAACATGTACTCGATTGTAAACTCCTTTTGGGGGATGATATTAGTATCGAAGTGGCTAAATCATCGGGGCCAAAATCAGAATACGAAGTTTCAAGCGAAGAAAAACTAAATGAGGCAATACAGCCTTATTGCGTTAGACTTGGAAAGAACATCTCGCATTACTTTCCACAGAAGCCGAATATTGAGACACTGGTTAACTATTATCTCCACCCACTCCACAAGAATCTAATGTCACTGAACTTCACATCAGAAACATGAACTACAACACTGGCCGAAATCAAAAGGGAAATACCAAATAGATCTGTTGCTATATTTTAGGCAAGGTCTAGTCTGGAGAAACACTTGACAGACAAGGCGACAGCTGCGACGGAACAATCAACATAATCTGGTGAGTCTACGGAATCATGTACGCCTAATAAGCCTACAGGTGAAGGAAACAAACAAAAAGCCGATCAAATCCAAAGCAGTGTATTGTAATCAGGTGAATTGCTGGATACTGTTGATCTTTTAACACTATCCCCGGTCAGTAAACGACGTCGAAAACTAGCGCAATTGAGACAGGCAGTAATGGGCGAAAAGGAGGGGACACCACTTCATGAGTCGAGTACTGGAGCATTTAGGGTTAAAATACGAAGAGAAATTAATGCAAGGGATTATCTGCCTTGTGTTGCACTCAAAGAAACATTTGTTCAGATAGAGACAATATTATTTATTTCAAAGGAGTTAAGGGAGAGAATTAGGAACCAAGACTGTTAAAAAGCGGATGCACCCAAGCAAACAAGCATTGAGTGCTGGCATAGTTTGAGATACCAGTTCCCTATCCCGTACATGGTTACTTTAATATCGTTCAATGTATTACCAACTTCGTGTCGGTCGAAAAGTATCTTCTCATTGAGCGGAAACGTAAAAGATAAAAAGCGAAAGGCTTCATTCAAAGGTAAGTATACTCTGTTGTATTAAGTGATACTTTATTTAAAATAGTGTATAAGTGATCAATTACTCTGTTGTATTTAAAGTAACTAATTTTGAACTTCGAACAGGTTCCACTTTCACCGCAATAAGTTTTGTGAAAGGAAACTCAAGTCTGTTGCCGCCATTGACCGAGATACTGGAAGATTACGAAGATGAAGCATATGATATTTGAGTTAACTATTTAATTTCTGACAGCACACAAGCCTGATGGAGATTAGGGGTGAAATTCGTCGATCTCATTAAGCTTGTGCGACTGCCAATACTTGATAAAGTATCTATAAAAATAAGAATAAATATTCAACCATGTGTTTATATTCCATAGTGGAGACAGTCTTCATCTGCAATAGTATAACAATAAGTATATAATATAACAATAAGTATATAATATAAATAATAATAGGTTTACATTTGCGTATAGACATGTGTACATGTCTAATTGCAGGTACACATACCTATATGTTTGCGTATAGACAAAATAAAAGCAATCGACATTAGAACACATACCATGATTATTATCTTTCCTCATAAAATGAGCGCGAAAGCAAATTGTTAGTGACTATATGCGTAAATACATACAGTAAACACATGCGCATACATATACATGTGCATAAATACGTGTACACACATGCGTAAACACATCCACTTAAACACATACACAAACACATTAAAAACATATACACCTGTACATACATAGTTACATACGTGTACACAACTACACACATACAAAACCCTAAACCCTAAAACCCGAAACACAAAGGCCATGGAAGATAATAACTAATATTGTTGAATAAATTGATACAAGGCAATATATGTTTGAATGATGTCGTATTGTTAGTGAACACATGCGTAAACACATACAGTAAACACATACACATACATATACATGTGCATACATACGTGTACACACACGCGTAAACACATACACATGTACACTTGTGCATACATACGTGTACACACATCCAAAAATACACATACTAATTATCCGAATTTTTGACCACCAATTTCATAGTAAAATTACTCATAAAAATTGGATTGTTACCATTATGCCTACTATCAATTAAATTGTTGGTCAACGAAAACCCACACATATAGTGATCAATTTGCCGTTATACTCATAATACTGATCCCAGAGTGCTGTAATCAACCAAAACTAATGAAAGTATGTGGATGGTCACATACCTTGTATTATGAGCGATTACGATGAATATTTAGTTGTGTCAGTCGGATTCAACGGTATTGTGAAACAAATTCAAGCTAAATGGTTTGGTCGACTTATGGCAGATTATCGTGATATAGCACTTATTATATATTATTCAATCGTCATGTCATGGCCCGGCGTCAATACTACTATCAATTGGTCATGGGCAAACTGACAGCCTCAGATCGGGACAAAGCGAGACACGACAGCTTCAACCGCTGCTTCGAGCCTACACCAATCCGGCTCTGGGCTATGATTGTAACAAATACGAACATGTTCACATTGCTCGACTACCGCACTGACGGCTGTCTCTGCCCTGTCTGCCCCGGTGGCCAAAATTTCACCACCAGCCACTTTGCCTGCATCCAGCAACTGATCCAATGCATCCTGGTAGGCCCAAAACTGCCTCTCATTGGCCCTGATCTCCTCCAGCAACTACAGGAGCGCCACGACTTACATGGTATCTGGACCCTCCACGAACACCTTGGATCTTTTCTCCAGCATGTAGAACAACCCCTGTACCCACACCCGTCTCTGACATATCAACAGATGTTTCCTATACCCCGGCTAATCACGCTGTTAAAGTACTACTTCCAAATTTCGATCCAAACCAATTCATCGCGCCTGTTGGTTTCGCCTATGATACTTTCAATACAGGCAAACCAGCACATACCAAGTGCATCCGTGGTCTGGTGCGGTATCGATTCACCCCCAACCTCGCTCCTCGACCGTATTATGACGGATAACCTGGTCCTACTTGGCATTTCGTACTCTACACTAACCCATTCCACAGCACTACACGATAAAGACCGATCCGAACCACAGAGGTGGGTACGCTATTTAGTAGGTCAGAATGCAAATACGTGGCACACTCGATTGTGTCAGTTTTGTCGGCACTGGCCTGAATTGACCCAGCGCATATCCTCCATTGTCGACTCACTTGGTCCAAGCTTCAACTGGGAATTTACTGACCACTTCTTCCCATCGATCTTCCCCGAACCACTACAACGGCTATGAGAGCCATACCCTATGTACAAACATTGTAACTTAACTTCTTTGAAAAAATAATATTATCTCTATAATTCTGTATACGTTACAACAAAATTTATCAGCTGACTGTGACAACATCAACGAGCATACCAATGAAATTGTGAATTCGACGACAGCTCTACTACGTCCCGCTGCTGGTCACACTCTTCAAACTTTGGGGGAAGTTGTATGATGGTTTGGTGCATACTATGCCAATACGAGCTGGAAACTGATGCATGACAGTGAGGTCCAGTTGGGCTTTGGTCGATTTATTTAAAGGAAATCCTATAACAGCACCTATGTATATCGAAAGTGTGGTCATCGTAAATGAGGAACCACTACAAGTAAGATATTGTAAAAGGAAAAACCCCTTTGTAATTCTGAAGTACTTATCGAGGTTTTCGATAAGAACTACGATCAACAGCGGCCAATACGTGGACCTCACATGATTTAGGCTACATCCCATAACAATTCAGAATCGTCGTCTAATAACGAGATGTATGTTAGGTTAAATTCATAAGTAAACTCTATAATCGTGTAATAATTATATTATACTTCATAATCTTAAATAAACACACAATGTCTCATATGTGTGTGTGTGCGCATGTGTATGATTTATGTGTACACACACGTGCTTTTGTGCTATGTGTTTAATTTCTGTTGTGTGCCCCGCATGTTTGATCTTGCTATTGTCTCCATAGGTGCAGTGCGATATCGATTTTGAACCGATAAACCCCACCGATTCAAATACAATGTCGGACCGCACCTATGGAGACAATAGCAAGGGCAAACATGCGTGACATACAGCAGAAAATAAATATATGGCACAAAAGCACGTGTGTGTACACACAAATCATAGTTGGCACATACTCTTACACAAACTATACAAACACAAACTGATCGTAAATAATTTGTTTAAATCACTCATATAAGGATTGAAATTTTTTTATGATACCCGTTATTGAATATTAGTTGATTTTTGAGGACATTATTTAGGATGTTGCATGATGTGTGTACGAATATTTACACCCAACATATGATACGATACTGTCGTTTCCATAATGATGTGATAGTGTTTATGATATATATATATATATATATATATATATATATATATCTATATATATTATATAATGTCGTATTATTATTTGTTTCTTAACTTAATTAATAGTTATTATCATAGTT